GTGAATTCACTGAAAAGAGCCTCTGCACTGAACCAAATGTTTTGCTTTCTTCATTAATGTCTGGATGGGGATTATTCATAAATTAATGTCAAATATCAAAGTAATATAACTCTTGTTATTGCATGAACATAGCGACAGATTGTGCCACTACAGTTAGCGTCGTTGTTAGGGCACACTACAAACCCACTCGATTTCGCTGACCATTAGTAGTGTTTTACGTTTAGTTCTCATTGACATTATTAATTTCCAGTTAACTGGGAAATTCCTACAAGAAATACTAATATGTGAAGGTCTACGATAGTGTAACACTGGTCGAATCGACGTAAGATGGAGTGAGGCATGAAAGTCAAATGTCTGCATCAATGAATCGAACCTTCGTCATACTTTTTTAATAATCTGACAATGTTAGCTACTACGTTAGTATAAGGATTTGCAAGGCAGTATGTCTAGTACTTGTGTTTTTTGGTTATCGACGTTATATCTGGGAGTAATTTCCACACCAAGTGACACAATGAACGGATACTACAGATCAGGGCGAAGTTAAACATTAGCAGCTGCCCTGATCAAGGTTTCCACTGACTTTGTATAACTAATCAGAATCAAAAAGCTATAAGTGTGGCAAAATTACATGCAATTATTCCTCTTAAAGAATTTGAATAAAGCAAGAACAACATTTTGTACAGAACAGTTTTAACATACATGCCCTAGTAACTAGATGTCTTTACTCTCTCATTTAACTATGTAATCTTTGGTTTTAATCTCTCTCCTCTTTAATATAGTGTGATTTTGCTTGTCTCTTTTTTCTATGATTTGAGTTGAACTCGGTAAATCGTTACTCATCATGTTATTCACCTCTGACTTTATTCTTTAATGTATCCTCAAAATACCAGTTATCCTGTCAAGTTCCCCTGGCGTATACAAGTTTCAGTAACTCTAATTAATGCATTATTCATACAACAATCAAACACCCAACTTTCTGGAATTCATCAAGCAAATCAAGAATAGAAAGCATAATTTGATTAGGTTCCATTATCTGTAACTCTAACTGACTGCCGAAGGACATGTACCGGGGTGGATATTATGGTTTAATACATCACATTTAACACTATTTTTTTTACTCCTTTACGTTCCCAGTGGAACATAGGGCTTCAAGCTAGAGCCTTGAAGTTTCGGTGGCAGTGGTACTTATTTTTACAGGACAGGCTTGCTAGCCTCATGCCTAACCTTCCCTCTTTACCAGTCTTATTACTAGCTTAGCGAGGTAAAGGAATGCGTCGGCCGGGGATCGAACCCCGAACCACATGAGACGTGGTTGGCGAGCATTCTACCGCTGTGCCACCGACGCATTTAACACTGTACAGAAGGCAAATTACTTGGTTGAGATTTACTACAGTACAGTATTGGTCCCTTACGTATGTATGTATTATGTACAATTCGGACACGAAGCTTAATCTCAGGCTTTTCTGCCGATCAACTTCCTAACATTTAACACTAGAGTTAAAAATTCAATAATGTGTAGACAGGATAAACAGTGTATTCACGGGTTAGGCGAAACAATGAGGAAAGTTGTTACCAATTAGAGAAATTGACACACACACCACACACGCACACACAGTAGTTTTGAATATCATTTAAAGTCTATCAACGAATCAATGAATGTAGAAAGTGTAGATAAAGCCTAACTGTATGATTGTGCACTAAATACTGACTGACCGAGAATTAAGTAATTCACCTGAGCAATACACTGCTGGATATAGTGTGTGTGTGGAGAAAAACACACTGAGATTGAGGACAATAAAGTAATCTCTGAATATGTACATGTATGTATAATATATTATGTATATGTATAAGGAATGTAAGCGCCTGTGCTAACAATCACCTATGCATACATCACATAAACACGTCTGTTACATATACAACATTAGAATACACAAACACTTTCAGAGAGAGAGAAAAGATCAATAATAACTGGAACATTTTACAAAAAGACGCACTGTAAAATCTATACAGATAGATATATACAAATCCTGCTAATTTACTTAAATATATTCACAACAGTGATAAAAATTAAAAAAAAATAATACTAATAATGCAACCTACAGTTAATCAGGTTAAGGTCAGCTGAAATTTTCGTCGACAGCTCTTTACTTTTAAACTAGGTAATACAACATTTAGATTGGTGATTATATTAACTATTGGCAAACAAAACCATGAATTTAGATAAATTATGCCTTATATAAGAGAACCACTCCAATTTTAAGATCATGTAGGCATGAAATTCGCGGAAAATACATTTCTGTATTAGATGAAGAAAATAATGTGCACTAGGATGTCTTCTTATCCATCAAGTTATCTTGTTAACTGTAGTTAACCCGTATAGGTAAGCCACAAACTCAAACAGCCATAAAGTATGCCACGATATACTACTGATTGATATTAGAACACCATCATTCTGATTAGCAGGCACTATTGGTTTATATGAATGATGTCTAACTACTCATGTCAATATATCAGTAGTATATCAGACCACGCATCTATGCTCTCTTTCTTGATTGCCATTTATGGTATCAAGCACATTATGATATTAGATAGTTGGAGGCAATCGGCAGGAAGCCTTGGACCTAGGTTTCGTGCTAGTTGGCACTCGTCAGCAAGGCGTATCCTTCAAGGTTGCAGATACGCCTTGCTGACTGGTGAGTGCCAACTAACACGAAACCTAGGTCCAAGGCTTCCTGCCGATTGCCTCCAACTATCTAATATCATCAAATCAATGTGCACCGTGATGGTGAGTTACCTAGAATGGTGGCCACATTGCAAACCTGACTGATAGAATTCAGTCTGCACCAAAGAAAGGACTAGACATGTCACACTAGTTATTAGTGTCCAATCAAACTATCAAGCAGATTATATATTATGTTATGAATAATTTCGGTTTCCAAAGGGAACTGTGATGAAATTCCACCTAGAATTGTATGAATTGCAAATTCGAGCTATAAAGTAGTAGATGTAGTACAAAGGAGTGTAAGTTATGTTTAACAACAAGTGAGAAAAGACAGTTGTGCATATGAAGAAATTCAACTATATGATGAACTGTAGTACATTGATTTGTGGGGTTATCTGTCTTTCAAATGAGCAGGTCGCAGGTTTCCACTTTATTCTAAAATGCGGACAGTTGAGTGGCAGTCATTGCCCATAACACACTGACTATGTACTTATGCAAAAGTTGTATTTATTCAAGTATCGGTTTGTAGAGATTTGATTGATTGGTTACAGGACTTCATCATGAGCTGACATCGGTTAGAGAACCATTGGAAAACCTGCAGGGAGTACTGGACAGCTGTTTCGTCCTAGCTCTTCGGGACCCTTCGGCAGTACGCGCCCACCACCACGCTTCAGACCCAGGACCTTCTGGTTATAAGGCGAGCTCGTAGACCATTAAGCCACTGGGATCCGACCAAATGGCCAGTCCATGAATTCTAACTTCTGCCAATTCACGACATAGCGTGCATAGTCGGTCATGTGACCATACAAAGACGAAACGATATCTATCAAGGTATTTTGACTAACAATTTAAGATAATACAACACCGACCCGTTTGACGGTGTTTGTTTCAGTGATGATGCCTTACCATGATAGATTAAGAGTAGATTGTTTTTGAAATTCTGAATAAACTTTATTCATTTTTAATTAAAAAATGACCGCTTCTTGGATATTTTCAAATTGAGGAACTAACACATTCATAATGGTTAATAAGAATTTACACTCCATATGTCAATAGCAAAAACGGATAGATTATAGAGTTTAGCAACCTGCTGACAAGATTGGTGGAAGATTAGAATTTTCACCACCATGTGTCAAGTTTTAAGTTAAAATATAGTCTTCCAAGTCTTCTGCACGAGGGTCACTGAATGTTGGGAATACAGTTAGTAATTTGAGAATGAGATGATAGTGGATGTTAGGCCTAGATTCTTTTTTTTCTTTCACGACACATCTTACGCATATCCATATTACCATCTTAACGGTAGCATAATAAGTACCTTAATATATATACACAACTGTTGACTAGCTTACAGAGGTATCATTGAGCGCTGTGTTTAAAATAAAACTCAAACCAGTTTAACAGAAATGACTGACTGACTGTTCACCGTTGAAACAAGGAAAATAAGGCAGCTATGCCGTAGTTAACATCAGATTCATATAACAAAAGCTAAAAATGTACTTATTCAAGAAGGAATATTTTAACGTATCATTTTCAAGCGATTCTGAATTAAAAAGTCAGCAATGCAATATGCATCCCCAGTGTGTTGTATTCACTTGCTAACACTTTACATATAACTGATGTCAATTTAACTATGAGTAGAGAACCGCTTAGGTATCTTATACAAAAACATATTGCAGGTGTTAGACTTGGTTATTGGAAAGTACATGTTCTCTTTTAATGTGACTATAAAAATGTTGCAGACTTTTATCAACAGGTGCCTTTGCTCCGTACACTCAAGATTAGATGATCAGTAGGAAAGGATAAGCAACTAGGAACTCTGGGAACGAACCAACAAAGAACCGATAGCCTAACAGATATGCAGAAAGAAATGGAGATGAGTCGGACACCCGCTGAGGAGACCTTTGGGCAATATTACGCGCCAGGCTCTAGAGTGAAACCCAAGTGGAAAAGGACGAGTTGGGCATGGATCCGAGAGTGACACGGAGACGATCATGAGGGGGAAGAAATGAAAGCTTTAGGGCAATCGTTGAGGCAGCTAAGAAAGACTGCAGAGAAGTGAAATGGAGGTATCCCGTTGAAGCGCTATGTTCCACTGGGAACTCTAGCGATTAATAATAATAATAATAGTAAAATTATCACAATAAGAGACACGATCCAGGGAATGGAACAGAAGAAAAAGTTGCAGTAATTCTTAACGCCTGGTAAATTAATCCAGTTACTGTAAACAGTTCAAAAGAATACCTGTTTTACAGAAGTAATAGTTGTTTCACAAGCTTACCTTCCATAACCAGCTATACAATGAACAGCAACAGGACCAGGTTCTATATTTTTGGAGTTTTCCTGAGCACCATTATTTTCACCGTAGAATCGATTTCTAAGAAGTGTGAACCATTCTGTAAGTATATTTTCTGGTGGAGGTGAACCGTCACTGAATTCCCAATGCTAAAATTAAAACCAATTAGATTTAGATGAAAAATATTACAGACTTAGGCTATGACTGTGTTCAAAGTAAAGCATAAAAAAGTGGATTTTCATCCTACTAACAATACGAAAGTCATGTCTATGAAGCCACTCAAAAATCTGCACAAGACGCAAATTCACAGTATATTACTTTAAGATGAATAAGGAACAATGAGTGCCCGTCTAGGTGGATGAAGCAGGTTCGCAAAGATTTAACTAATTTAGATTCTTTACATTGGTACAAACATAGAAGTAACGTAAGACTTGGTATACTAATGCATCATTTCAAACTTACACTTCATGGCTAACAAATAAAAGGCAGATATAGTGAAAAAAAATCTTAAAAATAGTACGAAAGTTAAATAAAGCAAAGTGGGAAAAACTGTACAAGGGTTTACGATATTCACAAGCTGCACGTTTACCAACACTGCAAAATGTCTCTGACTATTACTTGATGGTTCTAGTTAACAAAACTGGGTAATACATACAACCTTGATTAGTAATCAGATATTTGGTTACATGATTTCATTATGAGCTAACATCGATTAGAGAACCATTGGCGAACCTGGGAGTACTGGACAACTGTTTCGTCCTAGTTTGGGGCTCTTCATTAATACGATTATGCGTACTGGGTTCGAACCCCAGTTGGTGCGTAGTGCCAATGATTCCCAAGCTAGGACGAAACAACTGTCCAGTACTCCCAGGTTTTCCAATAGTTCTCTTCGATTTGTCAGACAGCAATATCTCAGTGGAACTGTCTGTGAAAAACAGGTGTACATGAGTTGGTCAGTAATCCTGGAGGTCTTATAAGACCACTTACCACTGCTAATACTTGAGAGTGAATTGCAGAAGATGCTGGGGATGAGAAATTCAAAACATCACATCTGCTAGTGATGTCTATGACTAGTCGATGTACGAAAGTATGAATTTCATAATTTAAGGTCGCTGACACGATTAAAAGATACCATTTTGAACTTCGGTGTTACTTGACTCACAATCGAGTGATGTGAGAGAATCTTTCATACCTTATGTTTCTCTGGTTGCACGCAGAGATTGGAACGGTATGCTTGTTGAAAGTCATTGCATTGCAAAGCTCAGAATAGACAAGACTGTAAGCTTTTGTCACAAGCAGTAAGGTTTTTCCATGCTACATAGTCTAGCAGTATGGTTCCAGAAAACAAGCAGAATAGTAGACATATGTAAATTTACGGATGACTACTACATACTCGTTGAAGTTTAATATATTTGTGCGTTGAAATTTCTGTAGCAATTTGGTTAAGTTTTGAAGGTGGAGTTGGTAGCACCAAGCCCCAACCCTACCTGTTTATCAGGGCTTGAGACCGGCTGGAAAACTAGTGAGCTAGTAATCTAGGCAAGGCAAATCATGTTCTGACCAAATAGCAACTCTACGCATCATCATCGAACAAAGCATGGAATGGCAATCAAACCTCTACCTCAACTTCCTTCATAGACTTTGAGAAGGCCTTCGACAGCGCAGCGTTGACCGCGAAGTAATTTGGAAACTACTCAAGTACTACGGCGTACCCCAAATATTCATCAACCTTATTCAACAACTGTACGACAACGGCACATGTCAAGTGATCCACAACGGAAAACTCAGCGAAGCGTTTGGAGTAAACACAGGAGTCAGACAAGGGTGCTTATTATCACCAATGATATTCCTAATTGTGGTGGACTGGATTATGCGTCAGACAGTGGGAAACGAGAAGACAGGGATATCCTGGACCGACGTGAAGAACCTAGAAGACCTGGATTTCGCGGATGATTTATGTTTGATGTCACACAAAATCGAAGACTTACAAGCGAAAACCGACAAACTGGTCGAAGAAGCAGCAAAGACAGGACTCCAGGTGAACATAGACAAGACAGAGGTTATGAAAATAACCAACCGACAACAACAACAACAGCAGCAACATCCAGTGCCAATCACCATCAACGGGAGGGATTTGAAAGAGGTTACTTCATTCACTTATCTGGGGAGCACTGTCTCAACCACAGGAGGAACGGACGAGGATGTCAAATCGAGAATCGGGAAGGCGAGAAACACATTCATCAACCTGAAACCAATCTGGAAATCTTCGTCACTCACCATCAACAACAAAATTCAGATTTTCAATACAAACGTCAAGTCAGTCAATTCTTCTATACGGATCAGAAATTTGGAGGGTCACAAAGAATATTTCCACCAACAGGTTGCAGACCTTTATCAACAGCTGTCTTCGTTCCATACTGAAGACCAGATGGCCGGAAAGAACCACAAACAAGAAACTATGGGAACAACCGAACAAGACAAGAACCAATCGCCCAACAAATATGCAGGAGAAAGTGGAGATGGATTGGACACTCGCTGAGAAGGCCACTGGGTGACATAGCGCGTCAGGCCATAGCTCGAGTGGAACCCGAAAGGGAAGCGGCAATTGGGACGTCCAGGGGTGACATGGAGAAGATCGTGTGAAGAAGAGTTGAAACAGTATGGACCAACATGGATGCAAGTGAAAAGTACAGCAGAAGACAGAAGCAAGTGGAGACGTGCAGTTGAAGCCCTATGTTCCACTAGGAACCCAAGGGGACAATAATATAATAATAATAAATTCACGTATGACTAATACATACTCGAATTAAACAGCCGAAGCCAAACCGTTCCATAAGATGTTAAAAGTGATTTACAATCGCAGATGTTGCTTTGAAATGGACACCTAAGCTGAAAAGATTTTCACCAACATGCCAAAAGTCTGATCGGAGTGCTGTGTATCCAATGGTAATTCTAGCGGTTATATGGATAAAGCTGGTTGCAGGCCTACTTAACAGGTTGTGGAGTTAAATAAGGAATATTATAGAAGCCAGAAAAAAGTGTGTAACCGACTTCAAGCAGATTTCACGAAGAGCTAAAGTTACGTGAACTGATGATGGAAAAGTGACGAACACATATCAGAAAGTAAAAACTATTTCCATCTTCGCCATGAGCCAATTTTCCCTACTAATGCAATGTATTTCACACGAGTTGTTAGTTGGCATAAGTCCAATTAAGGCAGCATGCACACGATAGTGTCAATTTACTTAACCGTAGACGTTCCGGAAAAACGTCACACATTCTTCTCATTGACATTATTCCACGTTAACGAGATAAGTGAAGGACAGTCGACCTTTATAATACATATTTTAGTGTCTCTGATTTTCATATAAATGCATTATATTGAGTGGTTTAGTGTACAGTAGATAACCAACTGATTCTGTTTAAATAAAATTAAAACTGATTGTGTTTCAAGGATTTGACAAATAGACAAGCAATTTCATAAATCCAGGAGCCTCCAAAGCCTCAGGATGGTCGGGGGTGGGTGCCTTGCGCTGCGGGTTGGCCACCCCTCCGCACACCTCTTGAAATGCTCCCATATGACCGGGCGTCTTACATAGCCTCTCCTGAGGAAGTCCTACTCACTGCCTTCACGTGGCGGAGGTGTTTTTCACCAAAGTGAGAGGGCGAAAGCGGATGCCCGGAGCTCTTCACCGGGTTGACTGTCCATTGGATGACAGTCTAGGGGAGATGGCTAAACCCTGATTCCAAACCTCCAACGACTGGCGTATGAAGCTCACTGGAGCTCACCGGCAGACGTATGGACAAAGGGCTTGTTGGATTTCCTGGATGTCTGGCCCCATTCAAAAAGGCGTATGAACCAAACTCCGGTCACTGGCTGCCAATGGATAGTGGACTCCCTACTCCACTCCTACTGCCTTGTAGGTCACACTTGGTTGTGTAAAGGCTAGAGCTGCACTCTCAAACAAAAGGCCGAGCGATTCTGGGGACATCACTCGTACCAAATTCCCATGAAACTTCATGAACTCTCTTCATCAGATCGCCGCGCCTGGGCAGCGATGATTCGAGATGTTCATGAAGCCGGCTCATCCTCCCGTAGGAGATAGCCGAAGTAAAGTAAAGTAAGTAAGTATAAATCCAGGAGATCCTAATAAATTATTCATAACTCAGGAATCAGATACTCTAGCAAAAACAGTGGCAGTTTATTGTAGACAAGAAAGTAATACGAGCAACTATCGGATCAGTATTGTATTTAAGAGATAATTAGTACTCCTCTGCAAATATCAGTCAATTGTTAGGATTCTAGGGGAATAAGCTGCACAGTAAACTTTTGATACACAAGGAACAGACATACTGGCAACAAACTGTAAAGGGATAACTTATCCGCTTGTTTATGATGTAATATAAAAAGCGACAAGTTGATACTAGCCACACATAAACACACAATTGGGATACTATAAGCCATGAGAATGAGTGGTTTAAATTAAGGGGACAAAAATAACTCAAAATATCTAAAAATACCAAAGACCATAGATCTGTAAGGCACAGGTTGTGGACTGTGTGATGTAGTATTTTGTAGTAAGGTTGTTAACTATCTGAAACAGGAATGCTGGTAATTCCGAGTAATAAAAATATGTCGGTGAAACAGCTGCACCAAGTATTGACCTTAGTAGTAACCTACTTTTTCCAAATTTTGGAACTACACTGAGTTTATTGGAATGTAACTACCCTTGCAGTATGAAAGATGTGTTTGATGTAACATTATAGTATGCCAGGTAAGCACCATCCCCTGCAGCCTCTGATCGCTTGAATAGTCGAGTGAGATTGTGAAGACAATATAATTCCAAAATCTGTTGGGCTATAAATTGATGTGTAAGCTTGTGATGAATATCAAGAAGTACTTTAAATCGAAGTCAACTTCAGTGAACTTTACTTAACATAAATACCTCTAAAAAACTAAGAGAGCAACCAAAATCTACTTCTGATTACCATAATCTGCTGTAAAAAGTAAGTCTTCAAGGACAGATCTATGGTAAGTGGATTCTAAAAATCCTAAGACTTTAGAACTCATTTTCTAAAAGAGGGCATGATGTGATTAAGACTGCATGCTACAAGTTAGGAATTAACGTAAATCTGTTATTACGTCGTCAATTATGTGCACAGAGAGTGTAACTTCCCCAAAACATAAAAATATGGGACGTTATTAACATCAGTGCAGAGAGGAACGCATCATATGAATTAGCTATGTGTCAAAAATGTGATGCTTCCAATATCCAATATCCTGATTACGAGCTAGTATAAACCAGTGATTTCTTTGAGCTCGCTTCTTGATTTTAAGGTAGAGGTTCCAGATCTTCGGTGAACTTATGCGTAGTAAATCCCGCCACTCGACTGCTTTAGCTCTGGTAGACTCCAGGAGGAGTGATGCGAGGATTGGTCAAGATTGTGGTTTGTAGTGTGCAGTATGTTAGGACTCAGCTGCTGCCGTGAATGGAGTTTGACCTAACACCCGTTGGTCATTCGGTATAGTCATAAAAGTAGAGTAATAATAATAATAATAATGATAATGATAATAATAGGTTGTAGTGTAGATAATATAGGTTGAGATAAGTGAAATAATAAAGAAAGAAAGAAAAGATAGAGTAGTCGGTACAGTGGGAGAAGACAGGACGGGTCGTGGGGATTTAGCTTGTATGCTTATCCATTGACAATGTGGTTTCAAATTTTAAGAGGGTAAGCCATTGAGACACAAACCATGCATTTCTGCATGATTGTCCAGCTTCCGCTTAAAAATCTCCACAGATGGAGCTGTAGTTACGGCCGCCGGTAAAGCGTTCCAGAGACGGCAAACTCGAAGCGAGAAGAAATGTGAACGCACTCGAGTCCTTGGTCTCTGGTGTGCTATCCTTAGCGGGTTACCTCGTGGAAGCCTATAATCACTTAATGGCAGGATGCTCTTATTAGGGTGGGCCTGGTCATTTAGAATCTTATAGACGGTGATGAGGTCTCGCCTGTGACTACGGTAACTAAGTGTGAAAAGACTTAATTTATTCAGTCTCTCCTCATATGATTTGTTGCGGAGGCCGATCACCCATTTTGTCGCTCGTCTCTGGACACTTTCTAGCATGTTAGCATCCCTTTTGAGTAGCGGAGGAGCAATGATATTATGCACCTCAAGGAGTGGCCTCACGTATGTCGTATACAACGTTAGGAATAGTTCAGGAGTAAGAGCTCCCAGTTGCCTATGCATAAAGTGTAAAGTGCCGTAAGCTTTGCTTCAAAGTAAACTTTAGCAACCTTGACCATAAGGGTTATCACGAGTATAGAGCCTATGCTTCACTGCAAACGCACATCTGAGAAGTTAAGAAAATCAAGACGTCGGGATAGAAGAACGTTTACATAATATGATAGCTTCAACTAACAGATTTCGAGTAGTCTGATTACTAGCAGAGCTGTCAGGAAATTTTGATAAAAATGTGCTAAGGGTATTTTATCACACTTAGATGCAGCCTCACTTGGGAAAATGTACTCAAAAGGCAAACCGTCGCTTCGGAAATAGGTGAAATCATGTTTGGAGTTGAGGTACTTAGTGGGTAGTTGACTTACCTAAACTGTCTAAAAGGACTAAATATATTGTTATCGTAAAAATGGTGACAGTAGTAGCAATTCTTACAATTAACAGTTTTGTCTTTGTAAACACTTTTAGTTTTTTCCTTTAAGAACGGAATGTGTACATAAAAAACACTACATAATCTTTATACCGTGAACCAATGATATTCACAGATATCTCTGTACTCTTTATCAACTCTTTAGATGCACTTTGACAAGGAAACACTTGACTAATAACGATATTAATTATGCAGATTGTCGTAGGCCAACCAGCATAATATCGCCACAACTCGGTTGAAACTAAAGGCCAGTGGGGGATATGTTGTCATCCCAGGCTTTCGGTGGTCATAAAATTGTAATGATTAAATCAAAAGAACATCCATCGAACATGATAAGATATATATGTAGAGTATTTCAAGCAGAAAAGTGTCATCTATGCTTCTGACTCGCTGGATGAAACACTTCTAGTACGAAAAGAGGATTCCACACAGTAAACATTAAATAAACCATGGTGAAAACCAATAATGAGAAAATATGACATTTTCTGAACGTACATGGACAGAAATTCCCGCCTTTTCGAAAGGTTCTATGGGATAACGGTTTTCGCAAACTCGAACGACATCAGAAACATGAAGTTTACAGCATTCCTAAAGAATACGTCGAATACGATTCCGAACAAAATGACGTACATACCTCCACAAAATAAGGCACATTATTCTTAGAAGGTGAATCCATTATGATGAAATGCATTCCTTTATGTTTGATGTCAGTAATGATTGGCAATCGCAGTGTTCTTGCACCCATTGCTGACAACCAGCAAAATCCTGAGTTACATTGGGCCGAAAAACAAACAGCTGCGTTCCACTACCTTTTGAAAAGCCACATAATTTTGTAAAGTTCATTATGTTCCGAAAACTGTGAGAAATTTTAGTTTTTAGATTTAAATAAATATAATATATTTCGGAAAAATATTTTTCGGATGACCTAAAGGTTTTGTTTTACTTTTTCAAGAAGCAGCAATTTTTCAAACTAGGCATTATGTTTTCGATTATCCTGCTACAAATCCATTCTCTTTTTCTTCGTTGTTGTGTTTATGTTAAAGCAAATAAAGCATAAGTTCGACATTACATATGGCTTTTTCACCTAACTGTACATATTCTGTTATGAAACACCATGATTTTGCAATTTCGTAGTCCGGTAATGTTACATGTTACCTATGCCAAAGGGTAAAAGTAACTTGGACTGCATCTGGACTATATATTACTTTTCATGTGTACACTACATAATTATGTTTAATTGCTGGATGGATTTCTTGTTCATAAGGTAAAGTGTATTAATTTATAAATTTACATAGGTTTTATATCATTTAAGCTGACAGTGCATTTGTTCTGTTCCCGCGTAATCTTTGAAATCAAGATGTTTTGATGGCATGGCAAACTATGAAATTGTTGTATTTGAACTTCTTCTTGGATTATTGTACGGCTTTAGCTTTAAACTTGACATTTCACCTTGCAGATACAGAGGAGGTAATAACATTCAATAATCGTTTTCTTTTTTAAGACTATAAACCCAGTTCTTTTTATGGTGTTGGAAAGCTAATGTTCACTGAAAATTCGAACATATATTTTTCTATTGGGTAAGTTAAGTTTATGTCTGGGATCAAACTTTTTATTTCTATTAACACATTATATCTGTTATTAAATAGGAAAATACAGAAAACCTAAAAATGGTTATTATTGTTAATGGTCGTGATAATTTTCGCCTCTACAAAAGCTTATGTCACATTCCTCGATGTTTTCGTGAAATTCGTGCTGTGAAGCATAAAGGTCACTATCACAAGTGGTAAACCATCGTGTAAAGTAAAATTATTAGTATTTCATTTCGGGTAAAGACCTGATGTATCCTGTAGTTTACTGTAGAATATGAAATTTTCGGAATTCGCAAAGATTAAAAGTGAACGTATAAAAATGAGTCGTTTATCATAAATCAAAAAATGAGGGAAGTTTCAGCAAGGAATCCATAACACTACATAATTTTGTTAGAGCAATACTTCATAACACATCATTTCGTGGTGACCTTACTGATACTCATTCATTGTATAGAGTGTTATGGCATAATGTTGGATTTCAGAGTTCTCCAGTTTACTTTCTTCTTGAACTTCTTGGCTGTTTTGGTGCCCTTTAGTCTTTCACAGAATAGCTGATGATTAAAAAACAAGATATGTGTCCTTACTTCAATGGCTATGCAAATTACTTGATCGTCCCCATGAAATACGGTCAATTTTCAAAACGAATCAAACAGTACGTAGCTGATGCTGAAGTGATCGGAATGGCTGTGGTTACGTGCCTCAAGTGTAATACAGTCACATTTAAAATTCCTAAACACTGTAAATTATATTCTACATTTTGTTCTGGTAAATCTTTGTTTTATTAATAAATTGTTTTGGTAAATTGCTAAATACAGTAGTATTCCCTTCGCTACATGCATAGGTAAGTGACAGCATCTGTGTGACTGGGGGAATATTAACTTTCTGTCGACTGATACCATACTTCTCTTCACCATTATCTAGCTAAAGGTTTCACATTATGAAGAAGGTCGTACATAGATATACCACAGTAATTGAAAAAATATAAGTACCACATATAAATGTCTTATCGGATGTTGTCCGTTGACTCTTTAAGCCATAGCATGTTATATGAATACTAAGGTGGTGCGAATATGCCAAGAAAATGAGGAAAAAATGGTAAATATAAGCAATTTTCATCTGGTGCAGTGAAATAATTAAATTTGCAATATGAGATATTAAGTGCATTGCGCATCACTTAACTGTATCAGTATAGTCGATCTTATTAAATTGCTATCTTTTGTCAGATACATAAAAAGTATGTCTAGTGGGGAATTTTGCTCTGTAATAGTACTTGACTTTCTCTTCTACATTTACCTAAACTCTGACAGCTGTTTTTAGTTTTACCGACCACGTTCATTTGAATTAATGGCCGGTAAAAACGGCCAGGAGTTTCGAGGTTCCTATATGTATTCACTGACTTTATTAGGATATCTATGGAAGAAGTCAGAGAACCACCTGATATCCAAGATTAGTACATATTGATACAGAGCACACTGACAACACAGTTTTATCACCCAGAAAAATTGAAGAAATTCATTGGTTTCTTAAAAGCCTAAGAAAACGTTGAGTACTAATTTCATACCAGCTAGGTATAACAGTATGTTCCTCAGAGGATTTAGACTAAACTCCACCTTAAGAATTCGGAGCGAAGCTGATTATTCTAGTTATTCATAAGGAATCTGATTATTAAATATGAGACCAGATGAAAAGCACTCGTATGATACTACTTATTTCTTTCACTTTCAAAGGATAATGAAAAGTGCTAGTGTACAATGTGGAAGTTTTCTTTATCTTATAAAATGACCACTAAAAGTGCAGGCAAAAAGATAACACATACTTTAGAGATTCCTTCCTGCTCTGAGAACAGAGGGTAAGTGATTTCCAAGTCAAATAATGAATTACAAGTAAAAATGTACGACTAGCCTATGCATTTGTAAGTAGCAACTTAAGAGGATCCTCAGAAATCAGTTTGAAAAAGTTATTATTCACCGAATTAAATGTGATAAAAACTAATCGGTTTTTTAGATGTCATTTGCAGACAAATACAGTGATGATCACCATCTCATTATTGTTTGAAAAGGTGCTAGACATAAATTGTAATAGATCCTAAGCGATAAATAGAGTCGGTGGTAATGGAAAAGGCGTTTTTACTTTGTTTTCTGGTGTGTTTACTAACATTTATGTCTTCATTTTTCCTCGAGGGTAGGACTATATTAACTACAAATGATGACCTACCCAAAGTGGATTTCAGCAGAAACCAAGATTGGTTAGGGAATCACTTAAAAGTGAAGTGGACTGCATAGCTAGTTTGACAGCGTTTAGTAGATATTGAAGCTAACATTTTCTGGTCACGGAGTAACAACACTTACCATCCAGCTGCTGGGTTGAAAGCTGATCACCAATAAGACAAATGTTTTCCGAGATAATCACTCGAACTGTTTTTCTACTCTCTGTCTATTCGCGTGTAAAAGAAATCCAAGTAAAACGCGCATACATGTTAGTTCCATTATGTTAAGAATTCCTATACAGTATTTTCTCTAATCAGTATTAATCTATTACTCTTTTACTTAATTTAAAGTGATATCTCGATTTATACAAGTGTAGTTGATGTGCCGTTGCAAGTCTGTTCATTTCACTTGGTGAATCAATGATCACAAAGTTGTATCTACATAATTTAGTGCCATTCCTGATGAGTATGTTTCATCCTTTTGCATTCCGAATGGATTATATGACTTCAAGCTTTGGGCTTCGAAGTTTCAGTAGCGGGGTGTTTTTATGGTTCTCACATCCAACCTTCTTTCTTTACTGGGTTTACTGCCGGCTAGTAAACCAAGCGAGATTAAGGAGTGTGTTTGCCGGTAATCGAACCTTGACCGCATGAGAGCTTGACGAGCATTCTACCACCATTTGTGATTCAGATAACTTTATCCATATCTCAGTTTTTTGAATAAGTTAGTTGAATGTCTGTAAATACAAATTCTTCTTCCTCTCATCAGGAACATCATATATATGAACAGTCTGTGTGAGGCAAAACAATCTTATGAAATTCTGGAATGGAAAACTCCATATCCAACATTCACAATCACATCAGCTTTCAAAATTCCGTCGTTATCGCTTTCATCTCAAACATCGGAGAACTGCATCAACAATCAGACAGATATATATTTTATTTGTGGAATTAACCAAATTCGACGATATAACCCGTTACAACCAAATATACTTTACTTTGAAGAATTAGGTATCATATGCAGTTTCTGGAAGCGGCAGAAGCTAAATAAATGGATTCTATTGGATTTTCTACCATTCAATAAACAGACTATACATCCTGGTTTAATTGCTGCTTCTCATTTAGCATCGTTTACAAACTACTTGTATTCAACTGATGGTAAGTCAATAAAGCTGTTTTAATAATAATAATAATAATGGCTTTATTCCAAACAGTATTTGTGGTACAGGTATGGAATTTTCAGCGTTCATTACAATATTGCATCTAATTACCTCATAAATTTTATAAGGATTTAGAAATATAAAGCAACAACAACAAAAAGAAAAGGAGAAATAAAAGAAATAAAATAAAAAAATAAAAAAAAGAACAGCATTGCATTCACATATTTAAACAGTGCACCACAGAATACGATATATAAAATTAGTCTGTAATAGAATATATGAGCAACAATATAATAGTAACAAAGAAAGGAGAACAAAAGCTAATGGGAACTATTTGTCAGAGTGCCGCAGTAAATTGATCATGTCATGCCTAACAGTTTTCTCATCACATAACAGCTGTGCCAGATAAGGTATTGTGGAGTTTTTATACTTGGTAGTCCTGGCATATAGCTTCCTATAGTTACTTCTAGTTCTACCAGATGAAATGCAAGGAGAGAGCTGTGTATAGAGAGGATGCTCAGGGTCTGACAATATAGTATTCGCTAGTTTCTTACATGACATTATATGTCTATCCACTATGGTGTTAACCAGTTGGTTTAACGATATCCCACTTGCCCTACTAACAGCTTTTAGTGCCCTACGCAGCGAAGCAAAGTCTTTCTTAAGTAGTCCTGGAAAGATTAATGGGGAGCAGTAAAGAGGGATGGGTAGAATACAGGAATTGACAAACTGAGAAAGTAAAGACTGCTTTATGCCAGACTGCCTAAACTTCCTAAGGTAGAACGTTAAGCGAAACATCTTTCTAGTCACTAGCAAGATGTGAGAGGACCAGGAAAGATCGGAGGAAATACTCAGTCCAAGGTACTTGACATCTGATGTAGCTTCAACCTCTATGCCGTCAATGATAGTGGGACCATGTGAGCTAGCTAGTTGTTGAAGGTCACTTTTTCGTCTGAAAGTAAAATTTACTACCTGACATTTAGACGGATTCAGCTTAAGACCGTTTGAAGAGGACCACTGACTAATTTCCGAGAGAAAGTTATTTAATATGGAACAGTCTGACTGAGAGTTGACAGGCATGGAGACAGAGAGGTCATCAGCATACTTGACAAAAGTGGCTACATCAGAATGTGGCAAGTCATGTAAGAAAAAAGAAAACAGAAAAGGAGAAAGAACGGCACCTTGAGGAACACCAGCTAAAGTAAGTGAGGTAGAGGAGGACTTTCCATTGTAGACAGTGTACTGCTTCCTATCAGAAAAGTAGGAATACAACCACTTATTTATCCAGCTCTCACTCTGTGTTGCAGCAAGCTTACTTAACAAGAGAGACCTAGGTACAGAGTCAAATGCAGATGTGTAATCAAGGAAGGCACACCGAACATATTTGGCTCCTCTATCTAAATCTGATAATTGAAAATATTTATGAATTAATTCATGAATTGAATTACTTAACAATGTATTAAGAGAGAATCTGTCTACATTATTCATTAAGTCAGAGTTTTTGAGGTTCTCATACTGTCTAAAGGTAGTTGATGTTTATTTATGTTTGCCTACCAACTTTCCCCTTCTTTGAACATTAAATAGTGTATTATTTGTTACTGAAAAGCACTCCTGGAGGTGCTAGCTTGTTAACTCTTTCATTTATTTAAATTCTAAACATTTAACCGAGCATCATTTATGCTTGACGATTAATTTATTATTATTGTTCCTCTAGGTTCCTAGTGGAACATAGGGCTTCAACTGCACGTCTCCACTTGCTTCTGTCTTCTACTGTACTTTTCACTTGCATCCATGTTAGTCCATACTGTTTCAACTCCTCTTCACACGATCTCCTCCATGTCACCCTTGGACGTCCCACTCGCCGCTTACATTTCGGGCTCCACTCGAGCTATGGCCTGACGCGTGATGTCACCCAACGGCCTCCTCAGCGAGTGTCCATTCCATCTCCACTTTCTCCTGCATATTTGTTGGGCGATTGGTTCTTGTTTTGTTTGTTCCCATAGTTTCTTGTTGGTGATTCTTTCCGGCCATCTGGTCTTCAGTATAGAACGAAGACAGTTGTTGATAAAGGTCTGCAACAGGCTGTTGGATATATTCTTTGTGACCCGCCAAGTTTCTGATCCGTATAGAAGAACTGTTGATGATTAATTACAGTCATTTAATCAATCCTCTGCTGTTTGGTCGCGAAGTTGAGCATTTCAACAGGAATTTAGAAAACTTTCTTAATAATGCTGATCCACTTTTTCGTAGATTTTATCAATAACTGAGTACCATTGGAAAAATAAGGAGTACTGGATATCTATTTCCCTCTAGTCAGCAACTTCTCAGCTTTATACACTCATCAGATAACTTGTCATCTAAGCCAAGACTTCTAGTTTATGAACTAAGTACGTTTACCATCCAGAAAATAAGTTGTATCTTTTTCTTTATGAGGTACCAACTCTAGAGAATGTCATCAGTAGGCATCAACCTTCAAATCCGATTCAGTGAATCATTTAGTCACGACTACTAAACAGAACTACAAGATTTTCATCTTACGGCCAGTCATGGGTGCCTGATGTTGGAAAGCCTTAAACTTGGACGGAGCTGCTATTCAGTGACTTTTGGTTTACCTGATAGCGGTTTGTGAGGAAATCTATACTGAAAATAGTCAGTTCTATAAGTCCGACATCTGATTATTCTATTTGTGCGTCGGTGGCACAGTGGTTGGGACTCTCGCCAACCATGCACATGGTCCGGGGTTCGATCCCCTGCCGGCGCACACCCGATATCTATGGTATGCCTGAATTTGGGCAACCGATATCCATGCTGAAAATTCCACACTTGTACTGAAAATACAGTGTGGAAATCAAGCTGTAAATCAAAAAAAAAAAAAAAAAAAATTGTATGATTCACAAGTATATATAATAAGTTTTGTGGATTTGAACTCGCATACTTAGGTGCTATAGGTTTCACCACGTAACAACAACAATTCAGAGTGTACCGCGATGGAAATCCACATTGAATAGTGACCGCATCGAAAACTTGATTGCTAAAATTCATCCTGCACCAAATGAATGACTAGACGCATGACACTAGTTAATACCTAGTGTCGAATCAAAGTTTTCACCAATTTCAATAGCTTAATTGTGCGTTAACCAGTGTGTAAATCTTAATCCTATACGGGTTAAGTTTTCGTCAATGCAGTCGCCTTTACAGTGAAAAGCGTATCTGGGCAGATGATAGATGCCATTGAAAAGAAAGTGATCTGGAAAAGGTGTTCTGAAATATAAGTTTGGTTGAAAATGTTTGATAACGGGAATTATTTCATTAGCTTATATGTGTTTGGACAATTTTCTTTTGAATTTATTCTGAATAACTGTAAATATTATTTTTGTTTATATTAATATATGTTTATATGTACTATCGAATAACTGTGAGACAATGTTTTTCCACTATTGGCTTACCCAAACATTCACAAGGACTGACTACTCAGATTACATGAACACTCGTACAGTCTCGTTACTGTTATTTTTCCCTATATTATGCACTAGTTTATTTACTTATATTCTCATTTATTGAACTATTTCAATGTACAATAGTTTATCATATGCAATCGTAGGATATTATCGAAAATATACATTTGCTTAGATTATTTTGTAGGTTAATAAAACCTAACCATAATTTCACTCCCAAGACTGTAGATATCTTAGTAGAAGAGAATGTGATGAGTATGACTGATACAATAGTGCAATAATAAATGAGTATCTTACTTAACAATGTCAGATGCACTTATTCGATGTGGAGAAAAAAGAACCGTTAGTAAGCCAAAATAAAACATTTAGATTGTCAAAATTATGAAGTATATTTCAGAATTGGTACTACTGAACATCACTGTGTGTTTAACCAACTGAAGATCTGGCACGACCAGTCGAACGCAACAAAAATATGCGAAGTGGTATGCATGCTTGACCATGCACCTTCTTTTTCACCAGTCGACTAAACTAGTGAGTACTATTGACATAAGTATAAAACTTGGGCACTGTGGTGGAGCATAACTCCATTATGGATAAGATTCTATTTTGATAAATCACACAGTGTTACACAGTAATATTAACTGATGACCACGTTTCGAGCACAAATTATTACTGCTCATAATCATATCAAGTTACTCACACAACTTTCTTGCTTCATTTATATACATGTTTGGAATCGATTAGATATTGGAATAAAAATCAATATGAGATAATGTACATTCAGAAATAATAATATGAGTGTTATTGATCAATTACAATCAGATGGGAAATAAGATGAGTGTTTTTATAGTCATAATAAGTAACTTCTTAGAATGTTGTGATGTGCTTGAATTAAAATAGAATTTTGAGATTATTTATTATCCTCTTCTGATTTGACTGGCGGTAATACTATCTTCCATATTTCTGGTATTTGCGTTGAGTCATTTCAGTTGCATATGTTGGGTGTAGAATCGATGAACAAGGGTTCAGTAATCAACCTCTCTCTCCACCTACACCTACCTAGATTACTTTTTAGAATTTTAACCCTCTCCCAACCACCCTATTGTGTGGTTGCGTGTTAATGCGTGCAGTGCAACTGCCGAGCTTTTTTCTAAATTATCTATCCTCTCGGGGTCAACCATCCTTCCCATAGCTAAATTCTTATGTTCCGACAATCTGACTACCCCTGACCTAATAGTTTGACCTCATTTACAGTCATTGCAAGCTATTTTGTAAATTTTATTATTTTGTCTAATTGGGTCAAAAGGGTCCTTTAACCTACACTCATATTATTATCACCAGTCAATCAAATCAGAGGAGGATAATAAATAATCTTAAAGTTCTATATCAATTCAAGCACATCACAACATTCTAACAAGTTACTCATTATGACTATAAAAACACTCGTCTTATTTCCCATCTGATTGAAATTGACCAATAACTCTCATATTATTATTATTTCTGAATATACATTATCCTATATTGATTTTATTCCAATATCTAA